ATATATATATATATATATGTTTATGTATATATACATTTACTCAAAACATATATACAACAAACGAAGACTATCTTTCGTAGTATTTAAATGTTCGGCTTAACAGTAAATATTTCGTTATTTTTATCAATAAATAAAGGGTAAGAGGCATCGACACATCGGTAACATGTTGGTTGGTACGTTACATACATACTCTGATACAACGCCTAAACACTTATCGACTTCACTTGCAATCATCTCCTTATCTAATATGTTTCTATTATTTCATTGTTATACAGATAACTGCTGCTTATCCATATAACGCATAACCGACAAAAGCAAAACAACGGAAAAGGAAGAGGATGGCATATCATTCGATGTTGTGTTGCTAAGAAGATTCAACATTACGGTGTCTCCTTACAAAGCGTGATCGGACCTTGTCGGACCTTTTAATCGGCAATGTGTGCAACGAAAGTGTCAATTGGACCGTGACACTGGTAAGTGTGCATCTTTTTTCAAAAGCGATATTATATTTTTTTGCGGCATGGTGTTATTATTGGATTGATGCAAAAGATATTTCTGTTAAATAATTCTATTTAAAAGGAAATTATCGATACTTATAAAGAGAATTTAAAAAAATTTCTTTCATTTACATGGAAATAATGTATTGAAGCTGATGATGATTGTGTCGATTAATAAAAGTCGGAGCTACGTAATTTCACTTTTAATTTTATTTGACAAATATGACAAACATCTTTTGCAACAACCGAATAATTTATGGTTACGGTGAACTTGATACGAATAGTATTTTTGTATAAAGAGCAAAAAAGGTGTTCATATGTATAAAAGCATCAATCTCGCAGCTACAAACAGACGTGCACTTCCGATATCTCGACGTGAAAATCTCGCTCGTTTCAAACAGGCTCTGCCAACATCGTAAAACACATCCGGTTACTTCGCGTAATCACATCACTAATAATAATATATATATATATCCAGTGAGCGTAAATTACATTCTATCAATTAAACGCTTATCAATTAAACTCTCACATACCCCGCTTAAGGCGCGAGACTATTACATGTAAGAATATAACAGGGAGTGTCTCGATTATAAAAAATTGCGTAACAGAGAATGCTTATATATTTATCGAGAAACGCTGGTTCACATTAACGCCTTTCCTCACGTATCTCACGCGCTATCAGAAAAAATAAACTTACGACGATGGATTAACCTTTAAGCTTCAGATTCCCTACGCAGATTCTCACCGCTTCTTGGTATTAATTTTAGCTGGTATCTCCTCATTTATCTCAGTATACCTCATAAATTGTTCGCGATATCGACAAACATATTATATAAGAGATTTACGATAAAAACATCCTTAATGAAACGCCGCAACGAAACTCTGAAAAAAATATATATCTTTTTCTGTTATTGAAATAATATTTTTTTTTTCTTTTCAAGTTGTTCGTGCAGTTTCTAACTTTTGTATAAAATATTATTTGATATCCAGGGGATAGTTAATGTTAATAAAATATTATTTATCGGGTTTACTATTTTTGGAACGCTTATCAACAACACTATTTTAAATGCGCGACATATAGTTTTATTGTAATAATGAAACGAGCAGTGATCGTATGATGGGAATCGGTTAGCCAAGTAGAAATGTGCGACACGCGATACGTTGTTATGATATAAGCTCGCATTACAAACGTAACTATCGTAACATAGTTACATTTGATAAAATCCCTGACACACATAGAACCCAGCAGTATTTTGTTCGCGTGAAACATATTATTTGGAAATTCGAAACTTTACACATATGAAAAATTTATTCAAGTGAAAGCATTATTATTGATAATAGGACTTGCTCTCTTTAATTAAGGCGAGATCGTGAATTCCCCAACACGCACTATTACGGAACGATATGATGGAATAAAATTTCAGAGTAGGATTTTAGGGCAGCCAGCTTTGTTTTGTAGCATCAGTCTGGAAATTCTTCGATCGTAACTCGTAAATGCTAGTGACAGGGCGTATGAATTAGGTTTGTAAATATTTAAATAATTTGTTATTCGAATAATAAGATTTCTGATAAAAAATAGTTGAACGTTCCAAATATCTAAATATCAAGTTGTGTTATTCTTATTCGAATACAGATAATCCGTGAGATTGGTCAGAAATATCACAAATCTAGTTGAAATCTAATTCAAATATGAAAATTCTGCAAATTCCAGCACAAATATATATAATCCAATTGTTTAAAAATGCACGCGACATTCGAAGTGCTCGAATTTCTCGACTATTCGTTTTATCTTAAATAGAATTATATTCGGATCTCAAAATCGAATTGCAGCGACATCGAAACAATCGAATATATTCAAATATACCGGAATTTCATATTTGCTTTATATTCTATTGTGAATGTTTTTTTTTACATGCATATTTATTACACCATATTGCATGTATCTAAGTTGAAAACGCAAGAAACGTAACTCTTATCACGCTAATTAGAAACGTGCATTGAATCTCAATGAACGCTTAGACTTGTCTCTTGTGTTGCGCAACGCAGTTCAAGAAGTCGTCGAACGCAAGAATATAATCTCTCTGCTTTGCCCGTGTTCTATTAATTGCCTCCCAACGTAATCTCATAAACGAAAGTCTCGAAGAGTTACGAAAGCCCGTTAAGGTGTGTGCGTACAAAAGACACTGCACGGCGAAACTCGATAACCGATAAGTAGTAATTAAGAATCTATAATACGAAAGAGATCTTTTTTAACATAACGATGAACGCGGAGCGCGTAAACGTATGTGTGTCTGTGTGTATTTTAATAACAACGTAGCAACAGTAAATATACATAGAATATGTACATGCAGATAGCGGATAGACTTACGCTTTAATCCTTACATATATATTTATATATGCTACAGGTGTTATATGCATGCCCGTTACACGTATTTTCGCCGTTTTATTACACGTATTATAATAGCAGCCCGAGATTATTGCCAGGGATTGGGATCGACATAATTTCGATGAACTCAGTTGCCTGTGGCACCGGACAAATGCGTTTCACATCGGTTTGCGTGTTAAGCTAGAGATCATTTTCGTTTGTGTTGTGCTTGCTTACGGCATTATCGAAATTTTAATCCAATACGAAATTATATCAATTTCAAGTCCCGATTGCTTCTACGCCTCTCGAGTTGTGTCCCATCGATTGCTATTGCTGCTGGTCGCCACTACGTTGCATTCCTCTCTCTCCTTCCGCTTTCTTATCTTATTATCATTATTACACTTAATCGCCACCGCGAGAGACGTAGCGATGTCCCGCCACGGAGGTGGATATGAATTGGGTTAGCCCCGACCGTCTTGTAATAATTCGTACATCTGCGTTACACCTATGATTCGTCTCTCTTTCTCTCTCTCTCTCTCTCTCTCTCTCTCTCTCTCTCTCTCCCTCTCTTTCTTTTTCTTTCTCGTATAAAAACCTTACGAAAATAATTGCTCTATCGTAAAATCCGACAATTTGCTTACCATCTTACAGCTATAAAGATTCAAAGTAATCCCCCGTTCTCCGGGGAGGGACGCAAACCGTCCCGCAAAAAAAACCGATCGACTCGGCTCTTAAAATGTAACGAGTGGGTAATGCAATCGCTATTGCGTTACAACGCGCGCGCGAAAATCCGTGATCTGATCGATCACGGTGCCAATATGGACAAAGTATACCTTTTTTTTTTTATCGTCGACAGATGATCTCGCGCGACAAAATAACGAGCTGCGCTGTCAAGCTCGCGCGATAAACGTGGCTTTAGAAAACTGCAGCAATCGCCTTCGAATAATCCGGATAAATTTCGCTGCGCAAACGCGACGCGACAGACAATCATGCTTGAGAAAATCCTATCGATTAATTTAATGAGAGAAAAACGTCTTTGATAACCGTGTTACATCCTACAAATCAAACTCTATGACCATGACTTGCTACTAATACAAGAGTATAAAAAATCTCTAAAAATGTTTAAAGAACGCGTTGCAAGAACGTTTTCTAGACATTTTTATGACGTTTCATACATTTATATTATCATGGATTTTTCAACGTACTTTGCACAATCCATAAACGGAGAACGATCGCGCAGACCACAAAAAGACTAACTCGGTTAAAGTTTCCGTAAGAAAATATATGTCCGTAATCTTGGTATATGTGATTTTAATTACGTAGTAAATCACTTGCCTGAATCCGCGCAGAAGTAGCATTTATAAAGACTCGAGTAATCCATTCTCGTTCAAATTAATCCTTTTCTTATCCCATCCTATTTATAAGATAAAGAATTTAAAAGACCGAGTGTGCCGTAATCTTATGAGGAATCTTTCTCACATCTTTTTACCAGAATTTTCCGGAAAAATATAAATAAACTGTTTCTTTTCAGATAAATTAATTAGGATTACTGAGTTAAGTCTAAGATTTACCGTCCGTCTCGCTAAAGATTCATATTGTTTAATATCGATTTTTGGTGCAATTGTGGTCTCAACGATCGATATCGTTATAAATTCATTGTACAATACACGGACAAGAGATTGAGATCTTGCGCGATTTGTTTTCTCAATAATCGATCTGCTGAAAGGCTGCCCGAGCGAGAGTCAGCAAATCGAAATCAATTCTTACACAACGCTGCACCGCTCCGCCGTACTCGTCCGTGCTCGATGAAGCGCGCCTCCACTCCGTGCGCCCTTAATTACGCAGCTGCTTCGCCGATGAGTGTCGCGCGCGGCTAATTGTCTGTCACGACGGTGGAGCCGCCGAGAAACAATGACTCGACCGGGCTCGCATCCGCTCGCGCGAGAATCATCATTTTCGACATCATCATCGCCACTCTGGCGTCGCTGTCGCGCTAATTGCGTACTCGACGCGCGATCGTAACAAACTCGTGCTTTACATTTAATTGGTGACGACCTAACTACAATCCCCCCACCCCTCCCTCAGTACTCGAACGTGTACCCTCGAAATCGCGCGCGTACAAACATCTCGACATAGAAGAAACCTTAAGATTCGTTGAAGCGTAAATCCCGTCCGTTCTCGAATCACCTAGAAAGCTACTTCGACATATCGTCAGGCAAACAATCGCGCCACTCGCGCGCCCGCTCTCCTCTTCTCTTAACAACTAGTATATTACATATACGCAGTGGCTACATTGTGACAAAATCCAAAACGACGGCGTCGTTCTTCGTAACGACGTAAAATGGCAGGTCGACGACCGTTCCGCGGTCCGCCGGGAAAAAGATCTCTCCAATCTCTCTTCCCCCTCGTCCATCCGTCGGCGATTTCCGGCCCGAGTAACAATCGGTGTCGATCATCCCAGAGGATGACCCGCAATTCTCGGACTGGCTGATTCCGGCCAGATTTCAGGCTTCGACCGCGCACCAGAGCGGTCGAAATGCAAAAGGCCATCACGTCTTTCTCCAATTTCTTCATTGTCGGCCAGGATACGTTAATAAATCAGCACAATGGGGCGAGGCCGCTGCGAGGCGTCCCCGACTTACGCTCGGCCGCGATTACACGCCGGTGTGATTGAATATATAGGAAACGTTGCTGTCCTGATGGACCGGCGGTCCATGCCAGGCGCGTCTCGTCGACGAGTTATTGTTGTTGTTATTGTTGTTGACGTAGTAGGAGGACTTCCTCATGCTTGTCGAGGAGGACATCATCGCGACGGTCTCGTAATATCTCAGCTTGCCGCAGCATCGGCCGCTCTTCAAGATAGCGATAAAGCCGCGTCGGTACTTCTTGTTGAAAAAGGCGTAGAGGATCGGATTTATGCAGGAGTTGCTCGCGCCCAGCCACTGGGCGATTGGCGTGGCTATCGGCAGGATCTCGTCCTCCCGCTCCGCCACGTCGCCGCCCAGCTTGATCACGGCGAAAATCACGTAGAGCGGCAGCCACGAGAGGACGAAGAGTATCACGACCACGACCAGCATCTTGACAACTTTCACCTTCGACTTCTGCTGTATCCTCTCCATCTGGGCGTCCTTAGTGTCGGTGGGTATGTGCCTGCGCCACACTTTGATCCAGATGAGAATGTAGCACAGAGATATGAGTATCATCGGCAGCACGTAGCAGAAGGTCAGATTGCCGATTAGGAAGAACAGCGAGCCGTCCTCCGGATGCGGCCACGTTTCCAGGCAGAGGCGCAGATCAGGCTCGTCGTCGTAAATGGAAACCAAGTCGAAGAACAGCAGCCAGGGCGACGTCATTGTGAGAGCGATGAACCAGATCACGACGATCATCATGCGCGCCCGCCGTTTCGTGATCTGACATTTCAGCGGCCACCAGATTGCGAGAAATCTGAAAGAAACGTAGACCGAAAATCTGTTAATTATTCTCGACTTTTTCTTTCCAGAATGAAAGTTTTAATTGAACGCGTAAAAGTCCGTTACGCGTGTATAGAAAATAATTGCGTGGAAATACTTTGTATTTGGTCTTGATTATTTTTTACTTTTATTTAGTATTTCAATTTCATCTCTACTTGTGCTTTCGCATTAATTTAAATTTTATTAATGTAGTTTTTCAATAATTGAATTGAATTTAAATGAGTGAAAATTCATTTAAAATTAAATTTAATAAAACTTCTTGATTGGATTACGAAGGTCGCCAAACTGGTTATTAACTTCTTCGTGGGCAATAAACTTATGCTCCGGTAAATACCCAAAGAGTATTTACGGATTAGATAACTGTTTGATTTATTGTGCCATTTCGTGAAGAATGCAGAATGGCTGTTTTATGGGTAACAAAGACAGGTTCGACGCGCGACGCCTACGCGCGCGCGCGCACGCAAGAGATCGCGTATAGCTGTTACCATTTTTAGGTTTTACATATGGAATTGCCGACAAATCCATTCGCTCTTTCGAAAGACATTTGCGCTCGTTACGCTTCGATGAACGTGCCACGAGTTGTTTGAGAATACATACGAGAAACGCCTCTTATGTGACACAAGAATTCTCATTTGCCGTTCAAAATAGGCCAAGAGAGGCCAAATTAGAAAGAGAAATCCATCGGGACGTGTTTTCGTCGATATCGATCTATTGATTGCCATTGGAACGCATGAATGAAGATGTTAGATGTACAAGAGAGAAAAGTTGGACGAGTTCAACGCGAGACACGACGAGGAAAAGAAAGAGCTTGAGGAATATAAGCGCGCGATCGAAGAGCGAGATAATTATTCAGTAAATTCCCGAACGTCCGCGCAAATCGGCCGATGTCTGACGCCGCAAGAATGCAGGCTGGGAAGTTAAATCGTCTCGAAGCGACAGGCGGACCATCGATCACGACGACTACGACGACAACGTCGCGGCGTCGCGGAGTAAGAACCACCGACGACGATATACCTATACTTTCGTTTTAGAATCTTATTAATCGTGACGAAGCACGTTCGAATCTCCGGAGGAAATCCGCGCGCGGATAAGGCGTCGCGTCTTTGTGATGCAAAGAAGTCGTAAAGGAGGACATTCTCGTCGCAGGAGCGCGCGAAAAGACGCTTCTCATTAATTAAAACGGTCCGCCATCCCACCGGGCCTTGGAAACGTCGAATACTTTCTTTAATGAACGTTCTTCTCGCGGTGCCGAGAGGCGCAGCTTCCGGGTTCATTAAATCCACCATTTTGCCGGGTGTCGAAGTCGGAGACGTTCGCACAGATTTTCGCCTTGGCTGCGCGCGATCACCGAGCGCGCCACCCTTCGCTCCGCGTTATCAGCGTCATCGGCGCTCTTCGCGTCGTCCTTCGATCCGATGAGTAAACGTTAAATACTGTCGCCGTCGGCGCTCGCAAGACCTTCCATAAATCAACGCGGTGGCACGATACTGATCTACGAGCGCTCTCACGTGGAGCGCGCGCGCCACTTCCGAGTGCGGTGCGGTGGCACGTATCTGTATATACCGCGCTTATCGCGGATATGTATAATGCAAGAAGCCTCCCCCGAGCCGTCATGTCGGCGAGAAGGCGAGAAAAATTGAAAAAATCACCAACGCGGAAATCTGGCTCGTCCAAGGCCGCCTGTGAGTTTTGTGCGGTGGGGACGTACACAATGAGACGTTCGCGATGATGATCCTCGACACATGTACCTATATAAAAGGATCGATTTCCCGTAGTTACAACTGCAGTGTCGATCCACGTTGTTCTGTGTGTTTGCTAACGGGAAAGCTGATAAAACGTTTAACATGTTCAAACTGGCAAGTAGATCCATCGTACATTCGGGTCTGTATGTGTTACGTGTGCGTCTGTGCAGCGTATCGGGTTTAATTCCGGGATACTTCCGCGACGCTAACCCTTAAGGTTCCTGTTTCCTCACTACGGAATTATTGAATTATGACGTCGAAGGCGACAAATTATGTGATTTTTTTCTTGTATTACATATTGAAATAAATCAGTCACTTGCATTTGATGGTATTGTTAGAAATTGATAAAATGTATCAAAATTTTTTGTTATTGTCTCTTGTATTGGTAAATATTATAATATGCAAAAGAAAAACTAATTTATTTCGCCGTATAAAGTAAGAAAAAATTTGATACGATATTTCGCTTTTGACATCATAATCCAACGATTTGCAACAAGAGATGGGAAATTTTAAGCGCGAGTTTAAGTGACACATCGAGTAAAATTTTCATAAAATTTAGACGGTATTATTGCGAATGTTGTTATGAGATACATCGAATGCGACTTTTGATATCTCGTAATATTAATTTTTTAAATTTGCTTAATTTTTTAAATAAACGCGCCACATATAATCGCGCAGACTGAATAATTTCGTTTTATAAATTCGTTAAATTTGTTCGAAGCGAGAACCGTGTTCAGATGTCTCGATTCGCGTGCATAAAAGTATCCGATCGATCATGGTCCGTGTAATCCTTTTCAACGAGGAAACGTTATTGCGAAACTATAGCGTTGAAATCGAAGTAGCGGAACGTTTCCGCCCGAAACTTTCGCGATGCACGAATAATTGAATTACCATAAAAAAAAGGAAGAAAAAATCGGCGAGAGAAAGAAAGGAAAGAGAAAGCGCTATCGCCGCAGATCGAAGGGAAAAAGAAGACATCGGGCGCTCGTTCTTGGCACGTGCGATCGTCTCGGTGATTAATTAGAGCGAGGTGATATCGAATTTCGCGGTGGCAAAAAGCGGCCCGATCGGGCGTCGGCGAAGTCGTCTGCCACGGCTAAATGCACCTCGCTCGCCCGTTCGCTCAAGCACACTCCCGACATTTTTCATAACGCTCGTAAAAACGAGGGATGAGTGGAGGGGAGAGTGCGAGAAAGAGAGAAAGAGAAGCGACCCGGGCGTGTGATTTCGCGACGTGTCCCGCTTTTAAAACGTAATCTTCCGTTGATGCTTCGCAGATTCTCGTGATGGCTGTCGCAGTGGTAGCGACCACATGCGCACCGACGCCGGAACCGAGACCGACGCCGATACCGGCACCAGCACCGGGCCCGCTGCCGCCGCCGCTGCTGCCCGTTTATCCGTTGGTCTACCCGTCGCCCTACGCAAAGGTGTATCCGTATCACCCGTATCACCCGTATCCTCTGGCGTATTACAACAGCTATAAATACCTCTACCCGGGTTCGCTTTACGGCTACTGACGATCCGGACTTCATCAGGGGAAATCGCCGACACCGGCGGGATCCCGCCGTATATAACGCGGCTCGCCGCAACGCGCCAAATGATTCTGTATATCGCGGACCGTCTCCCAAATAAAGTATGCTCTTGTCGCAGACACCGCAGTGTGCCCGACTACTATGACGACTCCCCTCCCCTCGTCTCCACCCCCATCCCCCAACGTATCCTGGCGTTCGTTAATTTTTCCGCTCCGCGAGAGGAGATCCCTACGTCCGCAAGCTTGGCAGACGCCATCGCTATCGAGCGGACCATCAATTCTGTCCCGTTTGTCCCGGCGAAATTTATGAAACAATACGCATTATACCGCATAATCGCGCCGTTCACGGGCAAGTAATTCCGCCTCAACCCATTATCTGTCAGCGATACATTTTCAAGATGGCACGTTAAATTTTAGTTTTGTGTTCTCTTCGTGGCACGCGCTACGCCGCAGTAAATAATTCCGCACAAATAATGTAAGACAAATACAAATCAAAGACAGATAAAGATACGAAGCAACACGATGTTTTAAAAGTAGATATATTCACAATGAGAGAAACATCTCGTTATTTCTCGGACTTTTAATCTTGATCTTCAACTCTATAACTTGAGTAATTTTATGCCATGAAAAAGTAAATTGTAAGCAACAAAGCTGCAGAGAGAAATCCTTAAATTGAGCAACGTTCAAAGCTCACAAATAATTTTATATCATGAGAAATGTTTGAGATATCATTGAATTGAATCATTTTCTTACAGAGATATTAAAAACTGCCAATTTCACGTAATTTACAAAATTATTAAAATATAATAAGAATTAGATTCAATCACGATTTACTGTTCCATTTATCTAAAAAGAAGTTTTGATTATTTCTTAAGGAACTACAAGTAACGTGATTAAAAAGTTTAGATTTTGCTCGCAATAGGAAAGTTAAGAGCAATATTTTCTTGTCGATACAAATCTTCGAAAAATTATGAAGATTTTTGTTACACGGCAAGAGCCGTGATACACATATAAGTGTATCGGCAGATTAATACGCGCGTGCTAAACACGCAATATAAAACATACCGTTTTGATGAAGGATATCACGGCCACAAAGCGCAATCGTATCGGGTGACTCTATTGTTATTTTTCCTACAAGCTTATTTTCGGGGAGAGAAATTAAACGTGACAATCGTATTCTGCACGATACGATCGCGCAATATAACTACTGTTTGCACGCCGTACGAGAGAAAGTGTAGCCCCATTTTGTGTTATCATGATAAATGCAACTTCAATAATTTGGCACGAATAGAGAATTCGTGCTTTATAGCATGGATGATAAGTATACGCAGTTTCATTGTGCGCGAATGGTTTCCGTCAGGAAATCTTTCCCTTTCTTCGATTAATGCGGGCAGTTTATCTTCCAAAGTATGAAAGATCAACAAAAGTACGAACGCATCACAAATCAGACGTTGAAAGAGAAGCTGCGAGCTTCCGTCTCGAATAAACCGCATTGATGCGCTGTATCATTGTCGGAATTTATTATTCCGGACGAAACAATTTCCCGGAATATATGCTCAAGTCGAACGACTTCGCTTCTGTCCGTTAACTCCCAGCAAATCTGTTTTATACGTATTATAAAGAGCACATTCATATTCGAGCGACTTCATATTAATACTGTTCGAGACGCAAAATTTGTCGTGGCGGTTGAGAAGTTAGACGTGAGAACAGAAGCATCTTGACTAAATAGACTTCTAAGAAGGGCGAAGGACGAAGCGAGGGCGGAATTATTTCGGGAAATCCCCGGAGACGCTCGTAAAGCACAAATTGGATAGTTCTCTGTTAGTTGCGGATCGCGCGGATGCGCGTGTGCGTACATATGTCATTGTGTGCGCGCAGAATGCAATCCATATATGTCCGTAATGTGTATATTTTTATTGAAAGGATCAAAAAAGTATGTTTACGCGCGCTCCGATTTATTGCGCCCTTAGTTTACCCCTTCCGTTCAATAAAATCGCTACTATTCAGCGTGGAAATAAACGAGATCGGAAGATGCGAAACGGAAAGCGTATAAAATTCTGACGCTATTACTGGCGCGCCCCATGGCGCGATTATTTCGCTTATTCCGCGGCACGCTTGTATCGGGTATTTGGATAAAGGAGTGCGAACAATAAGAACTCTTTCGTTAGGTTTTTAATTAAAATTTTATTAAAATTCCATATGAACGAGGGTAGGGTTCAAGATGATGGTGGGATGATCGTGACGAAAGTCCGAGAATTTTGTCGATGAAGCAGAAGGAAAAGACGAACGTGGAGAAAGAGATTCGATTAATTCCGCGCGGAGCTTTAATCCTGATTGATCCGCGCGTCCTTTTCCGGATCCGCTCCCTCGGTGCTCGATCGCGGGGCCTGATGATTCACACGTAGGGAACGGCGATGAAGTAGGGGGTCAAAATCAGCGGTGATAGGGGGACATGCAATTTTTTTTTTTTCCTTTCTTCGTACTACGGGCTTTCCTTTGCGTTGGACGATTTGCGAGGAAGTGGGGATGTTTTTTTTTCCGGGATTGTATCGTCGTGACTCAGTGGTGTTGGTGAGTTTACGCTGGTTCTCCTAGTCTAACCGTGAAGAGAGAGGAGGGGGGCGCCATGACCGGCCAGAACAGTCCTGGTGACGACGGGGGCGGAGTGAACAGCAGGAGCGATGGGTTGAGCGATCACATGAGCAACCGGGGCGGCATGAGCAAGGGCAACTGGAGCAGAGACGACCGCCGGGGCGACGATCGGGCCAATGCCATGGCTGACAGCAATACCGGTCAGACCTCCGGGAGCAGCGAAGGCGACAGCCAGGACGGCAGCGAAGACAGCCTATGAAGAAGATTGTTAAGGGGATTTAGAGCACTTGCAGATTGTTCCTTCCGATGATCTCCAGCTCACTCGAAGAGTTATCCTTAATAATCCTGCCGATGGCATTTCGTAGAATTTGCGTATTCCGTCGAGTCAATTGCCGTACTGTTTGTCGTATTGTTCCGCCGGAGGTTTATCGCGAAAAATGGACAATGAGCGCAATTGCGCGACAGTTCCTGCGAGACTCGTGTTGATCTTAGACGTATCTGATATTCAGCGAGCGTTGCGGTTCTTCGGAATCGATTGTACAATCATTCCGATTGTATCGGCGATAGAATAAATTAGACGCGTTAATCCCGATTGATCGTTAAGAGCGGAGAACGCGCGCGATCGAGAGAATTGTTTTGCAAGAGATCGCGTGATAAGGCGAGGTCGATTTACATGCTCGCCGCGAAAAAAATGCGAGTTGCATTCTGCATTGGCGTCGGCAACGGCACCAATGCTGCCTAACAATATGCATGCTTCAGTGATTTCGCTCGTATAGATATTCTATGGAAAGAGAGGTCGGGTGCCGTTTGCCAGTGCGAGACCGGTGAACGGCGTAAGGGCGGCGGGTTCGTCGTCGTCGTCGTCGTCGTCGTCGTCGTCGCCGTCGCCGTGTATGCGCGCACACACCGAAGCGGAAAGGTCACAGCAAAAGCAAGAGCCCGGCGAGAGCGAGGAGAGGCCGAGAGGAATCTTTTTTCCTCTGTTTCAGTATGTATGTATGTATGCGCGCCGCGCGAGATAGCCGCCCGTCTCTTTATCGATCACGGAGGCGCGAGAGCTCGCGACGGAAAGAGTTTTCCGCGACGGAGTATTAGAGGCTCTGTTTACTCGAGATGTATAAACGCGCCGTTCCGTGCCAGCGCCGACTCCACCGGCGTGGAGAGAGAAATCCCGCGTCGAGAACTCGCGAAAATAACAGCGCGCTTCCGCAAAGTCCATGGCTCCACGACGCTATATCTTCGGCGCGAAATCGGATCTTTCACTCGGCGTCGCGTACCGCAACAATTCCTTCTGTTTCTGCTCCGCGTAGAAATCGTGTTTGCGACGGATCGATCGAACCCGAAAAAAAGTAATCACGTGGCGATTTTACAAAATCACACTTGGCGGAAGTGTGTCAAAGTGTCGCTTGTCCACCGGAAATGGACATTTAAAAATCGATCGACGTTCTATTAGATGTATTATCTACTCTTTTACATCGATCAATATACAGTTAGTCAGTACGTCGAGTTAATAGAAACGCGATGATCGGTAAACAAATGGAAACAATTGCGGTCTGATTTGTTTAATCGTCTCGTAATCGGAGAGAGAATCGAGAAGAAATACACCGATAGAGATTGTAAATAAATAAACTGTTTTTAGCTTACCAACTTGAACATGTTGATTGGTTGTGGATTGCTTGTTACTTCTCGGAAGTAAGTGAGCTTATGCTGGTTTCGGCGACTGCGGGAGCTTATATACCGTGTGTAATTTTTAAAAATCGCCATAAATTTGATCACGTGACCCGTGGTATCTGCATGACGATATATGCCGGCTAGTTGAGTCAGCCGATCGCTAAGCTTGGTGGGGTGGCCGCTTGACCAATCGTCTCCGCGATACCGGTTTCAACGTCCCACCGGTTGGCCAATAACGCGCTTTCAACCCCTCGCGTCGATCGCAAGAATTGGGTTAAGATAATACGTGTTGTAAGATACTGGTACCTTGACAGAACCGATACCTTGCACGACACACGCGCAGCCGATGCCAGTGTGAGAGCGTCGCACACACACAAGATCGTGTGTGTGGGGTAGATGTATGTCGTATATATGGAGAAAAAAATTGCGGCTAGTGTTTCACCGTTGAATGCAAACTCGTCTCGTAAAGATGCAACCAAGGTCCACATTCGCCGTTGCAATTTGACCTCCTTCATATTTTTTCAGGCATGGATGCCTAGCGTCCGCGGTGAGCATCTTTTACGAGTGGAATCCCGAAATGGCTTTTGGCAACGAATTCCGATTCTCCATCTCTAGGCACTCGAAATTTTTATGACAAGCGAAGAATTTTTCTACTCGTAAAATCCTCGTCTTCGGAAATTAAAAATCCGGTAGAATTTCATTTTGGACTTTAATTAAAGAATTGTAGTCAAATGTATTCTGGGTTTTTTTTTCTTATGGAAATGTACACAGCTTTTGTACGCCAAGACTGATGTACACACTTATAGCTATATGCCAATGCTTTTCTGAGTAATTGTATGAAATATGAGATGTATCTTCTTAGGCAATTATTTCGAAAGAAACATTCAGACACTGCAAAAATTTTTACAAACATGACATTTGAAATATTTTAATCGTAACTCAAAATATAATTTTTTACACTTGGCTAAATTTAATTTTTTACAAACGTATGTATATATTTAATTATTACATTACATTTTCAAATCACATTAGTTTGAATTGGGTTTTGCAAATTCACCTAATCATCTCTTGCAAATTAAGTTATTTATTTCTCCGTGCTTTTGCCAGAACTGCACTTGTCGCAAAGTTCGACGCGATGATCGGGGCAATCGCGGAGATTAGAACAGTTTCTGTCATTTGGCGAGCAAGCATTTGAAATTAGGGAAAGAGCAATTTAATCCGCGCGAGCTCTCTACAATGTCCTAGCTGTCGCGGTGAGGAGCTTCTCCGGGCAAATCAAACTTTTATCAATAAAGTAACGTTGCATAATTTGTGTCCCTGCGTTTTCCGTGTCCATGAAATTAGCACCGGGTTAAATAACATAACTCGATATTATGACTCGGATTACGCGCATTGAGAAACACCTAGCGGTATAACAAGTACGATCGAATATCGCGTGTCGACATTATGCAAAAGTCTTCGCCATATCTTTTTGAGTAGGTATATATGTGGGTGTAGTGGTGTAGAAACACCGAGATTTATCCATTAAATATCGATCGTTAACGTCTCAAATGAATTAAGAACAACGTCGAAACCATCCTTCTCAATCTTACATTAATTCTAATGAGATGATTAATTATCAGTAAGGAAATATTGCGTGTTTTTTGCAGATATTTCGCAATACAAATATACATACAACTTATTAAAAGTTTCACACATTAGTAAAAATAGCGTTGCTTGCGAAAACATTCCTCGCAGAATTTATTTCGACGAATAAACGCATAAATTTGTTTGTGAGAAACCAAAACAATGGTGTCACACGCAAAATCCACTTCCTAGATTTCTGTCGACTGTAGGTTCACGTCCAAGTTCTGTCGTTGCACGCTCGCAAGACGAGAAGCATATGGGACAGGAAGAAGATATATTTTCGGTCTGAAGCGCTTGGCTGCATCGTCGGCGGCCGGCGTGACAGGGATGGGAAGATGCATTTGCGCACGGTGGTAGGCGAAAAGACAATTCGCCCAAGTTCGGCGCGATCCCTTTCGCCAAGCAATTCCCGGAAGATCGATCGCTTCCGAAGATTCTATAAAACTATTTCCACGGTCCACACGATGGAAGTCTCGTTTCTCGTCGTCTAACGTGAAATTGATAGCGAGTCGTTCTCGTTCACCGAAATTCAAATATATTCCAATAAGTTTCATCTCTTCGAGCAATATTCAATTCCATTTTGTTTGTCATTCAATCGGGGATAATTTCGTATTCTCGTATTATTGGGAGCTTTTAGCACCGGTTTTCTGGCACTGAGGACACGCGGTTTTATCTTTCGCGAGCGTATCACGCGCGACTATCCAGTCGAGCAGGTGCATCTTTATGACATTGTGCGAATGGGGATAGTAATAATTTGTGCCGTGAATGAAATACGAGATCTACATTTTATTCTCCAATAAAATAGCGGGAGTGTGCCACGTAAGGCGTCACGCGTATTATTGGCATAAAAATCTACTTATGCAAATGCCTGTGATTATTCATGGAGAATAATAAGTTCAATGCGAAATTATATGCGTTATTGAGAGTTAATAAAGTGTTTCTACATAATTAGTATACGGCAGTAATGTGGAATGTATTACGATATATCATTCTACACGCTGAAACATATTGTTTCACCTATTAATATTACATTACATATTACGTACGTTAAACGGCAAATTTTGAATGTAGATATAACGTGTGCCCATTATCACGATCGATATCCCATAATGGAAGCATGTCGATAATGTGTATGTTACACCGCAGTCTATAATTATTGTCGGTGAGCGCATTGCATTGCTGATGAGAAATAAATGTGTCATGGTGGAATTCGGTGTGGTCGTGGCTGTTGCAAGAAAGCATTAGATTTCATCAGACATAAAGATTTGTATAATTTTCGTAACTTATCGGGATAGCCGATTAAAAACGACAAGTTCGTCAATACATTACCAGCCGTTCGGATAATTACATGCAATTTAACCATTTAATTTGTGTCCGGTTCGTGTTTAACAGGTTCGTACGGAAAAATCGACAGTTGTAAAATTATAAATTTATTCCCTGCAATATTGATTCCAATATAACGGGCGCGCACAATCTACCGTTTATTAAATTTAAAGCTAATCTTAATCTCGCTTTCAATACCTTGGCATTTTAAAGACGAAAAACAAGCGTAAACGGCACCGCCTTTGAATTAATATGCGCGCGGCGCAAAAAAGTGAAGGCAAGATTGTAACTCCATCCACACGCATCAGCGTGAGATTGTGTGTTGTCGATAGGCATTTTTCCTATAAGCCTTGCTTTATGCAAACATCGCGTGGATATATGGTAAAAGGCAGACGAGGAGTACGTACCTGTCCAGGGAGACCGCGACCAGGCTGTAAACGGAGGCTGCCACGGAGACGCCTTGTATATAAGCGACCGCCTTGCACATGAACCATCCCAGGATCCACGCTGAAACACAAGTTTCGCAATTTATCGTTTCGAGTATCACTCGGGGAACTTTGGCGGCCGCCACGAGACTAGCGGTGGCCGAAGGGCTTTTTAGCGCGCGCGCTGCTGTAGCGAGCGGCCGACTTTACACGAGGGCCGAACTTACTGGCTTGGCTTAATAGCGAGATACGAATGTAAAATGTAAGGGCACTCGACGAAGATATTAATTGCACCGCGTTACGGACAAATGAAGAACAAAAATAATTACAAAAGTCATGAGTTCGCTAAAGAGTCCGCTAGCTTTCTCATCTTGAGCATACAATTGATATATAATTAATTTTTTTTAGATGGATCAGTTATTTTGTGAATAAGTTGTCCAAGTTTACAAACTAATTAACAGGATGCGGGAGTTGGTGAATTTTTAAACATTCTTCGGATGGTTTAAGATGCGTTGAAATGGGTCAGTTATCTTAACAGCATGAATTGCAGCGGAAAAGGGGGGGGCGGCGAGGGGGGTAGGTCATTTATATCAGTCGGCGGCGCACGCGAGAACAATTAGTACATGCCTGACTGCCTCAACATGTTTCATTATCTCTGGCAATGGGAGAAAAATTCACATTGCTCAAATTTACCATTATTCTTTATTTATCTATTCAGATAGCCGAAAAAATTGTTTGCTCAAAAATATTACACAAACAGAATAATATACAGATGATACGTGAAAATTAATTTCAGCGAGCTATTTTACGAGAAAAATAACATAAATGTATATCAATTTTATTAATTATCGCTTCTCTGTACGCAAAGCTATTATATTTTCATTTTTAAAAAGAAAACAATTAATCTCGCGAAAGACGAAAACGGCTGAAAACAAGGGGGAATTTTCGACTACAGTCATCGATCATTGTCCGCGATTGATGGCACGGTAAATAATTATCTCTCATAATACAACATTGAAAGCATTTGGTAGTATAATATGATCGATGGAAAGTTTATCACGTTCTCAGAATAATAGGACTATGGTAGGACGTGGGAGAGGCGCAGGGAGATCCGTCAAAGGAAAAGGTCGCTCGTAAATATCGACGCCTCTACCGGCGCGACATCGCACCGGGTACAAACAGCGCGAGCAATCATTTTCGATTTCCGCGACTGGCCTCACCTCGCGCACTCCCGCCAATCGCAGATATTTTCGCGGAAAGATACTGCGCTATTGCCGTTTCACAAGGGTCGTGCCGTAAATTGTAACGGGTATGGAGTGGAAACGGGTTCAGAACGAAACAGGTTCGCTCGCTCTCTCGCTCGCATGATGCACGACCCTGCAGTGCGCAATAATGAATAGCGTGCGCTCGCCGAGCGCAAGGTGCAGCAGCCGGGATTATTAGATGGGTGGTTCCCCCTCCCGGTGTGTCGAAACATCGGTTTATCGAATTCGATCGCCGGTTCTCTGTTTTCTTCTAGCGACGACACGTTCGGCCGCGCCGCGCTACTCGATACCGCCGCGCGCGAGTATTGTGCTCGCGGAGTGAATGGTGCGCACACGCGCGCGAGGTCGCATAGAAAGGAACCTCCCTATCGGTGCCGTTCAGCCGATAATTATTTATTCTGTCGAGTACGTAATTTCTTGATTTCGATAAGCGCGGCTGTCGTGGCTGTATCTACTTACGAGTAGTGGATTGCGACTCACAATTAATAAGTGATTTGAAACAACAAGACGTTCGCGAATGTAAATGCGATAGAAAGAGAGAGAGAGAGCACGATAGTAGACGGTTGTAAGCACTTAGGAATTAGATTTTTTTTTTTTTTAATATAAATGGACGATAAAAAGACAGTCTTTATTTAATGTTTAGTTATTCAAGGCGCTTAACGCGGACCTTGATAAAATTGCAGAAAGACATCTAAAATGTGAAAATGAATTTTCTCTTCCATATGCACAATTTAATAATGACTACGCTTTGTTCTACAGAAGCAATTAACCGTCGGCCACACAAAGCATTTTTTCCGTAATGTTGAATCAAATATACCGTGGAGATTTGCGAGGCGCATGCTTAAGTAAAATTATCACGCGTCCTATTCCTCGTGAAAGTTACAAAGGACGATGGTTCGGCAATGAAACGGGATTAAAGGGACCTCGAGAAGTTCAAATCCGATTCGGCAACTTGATTTTCGGCTTCAAAGCCGGAGGAATTCACTTTCGTTGACTACCGGTTCCGTTTGATTCGCCTATTCTTGGCACGGATGTAACAGAGTTACATAATACGAGGACCTTCGTGCACGCGCCAAAACTTGACGTCGAAAGTATTCCACGGTCATTGTCGCGCTAATACGTACGCGCGTCACGGATGACGGAAGTTGAAGTCTCGCGGTGCGCGTGCGAGAGGAGCGCGGAAACTTTTCGCGAGATCCACTTCCGGACGCCTCCTTACAATCGGACGTACTTGGGCGGCGTGCTCCCCGGTGGGACATTCAAAAAGTTTCTCGCTGAATAATGCACCGGGCCATGGTACGTGACTTGGGACGCGGGTTTCCAGACGAAGCGCTACGCGATTTCGAAAGAAACGTGCGCGAGCGGACCGCTGACTCGCGATAAATTCGACGTCTTTGTTTTCTCGGACGGAAGACTTGTCGCTTTGTTATTTTATCAGGAAGAATTGTTCCGCAAATAGAGGGCGAACAACATATCCAGCGCGAAGGATATTGGCGAGAGTTCATCGGGGTCACTCGACGGCACTCCGGCGATGAATTATTCACGACGGGAAGAAAAAGATAGCCTCGTGCTACATATAGCTGTTTATTAATCGTTTGTAGATATATAATTACATAATCGTTCTCTCGCGGTATTAGTATTTTTCTTTTCTTTCCACGGCGGGGAAAAAATGTCGATTGCGCCACTTTACAAAGGTTCTAACGCACCAGTAGAACCAGTTTCATAACTCCCTCCAATGTAACATATAATAACGATTGATAATGGTGATAAACGCCTCGACCGGCTCCGCGGAAAGCGATTTCAAGCACGTGCGTTATTCTTATTTATGTCCCCCGCCAGGATATTTCGTCTTTTTTTAGTAGACAAGGACGCCGATAAGGTACCAGTTACGCGACTATTTGTTAGGATTTTTGATAATTCAAATCAATGACTCGCCGCAAATCTGCGAACTTGAAACTCTGAAAAAAGTTCGATCGCGCCAAACCTCTCATTTTCGCGTTTTCTTCTTTTTGCTCACTTATTCGCATTGGTAATAATATATAATTTTCTATTTAGGGTTGTCAATTGCGTTTCAACGGTTATTAATAATTGGTCGTGGATATTAGGTCGTTCTGAAAATTGAAGCGATAATTACTAAATGGCCTTGGCCCATTTATACCGCGTTTATGATCTCTTCGTTCGCGTTAAATTTTTCATTCCATTTTTCGATTTTCTCTCTCTCTCTCTCTCTCTTTTTTTATAGATTTGTGTATCAAATCTGTATATAAAATGTATATTTTTAATACAAAAAACAGCATATCGTTATTTAAATAACAAGTAAGAAAGTTTAGAAAGTGGGCGTGAATTCGAACACAAATAAATAATAAAATTTTAAAATTAAAACGAAGAGAAGTTTTATAAGTTTATGGAGTTCATAACTTCGAACGAGTCCTATTAACGTTGGTTTATTCCTGTTTGCAGAAGAATCTTTTTTACGACTATTGTCTCAATTGGAGTCTATCGCGCGGTATAAAAAACGATCACATTTCGAAGTTGTTTCAGTGACGGTAGGTGAGTTAATCTCGGAAACGCGCGATGTCGCGCGCGTTAACGACGCTTTTTCCCCGATGGCCTTCGCCCTGTGCAAACAAAGGGAGAAAAAAAGCCGCTCTTGATCGTCCACTGTGGAAACAAAGTCCGGTCGAGTCGACCGGCGGTAGCCAATTATCGCAAAGTCACGTTCGCTTCTAAATGTCACATTTTTACAATCGCGCCCGCTCGCACAGCACGCTCGCGCGTATGTAGATGTGCAAACGCGTGTGTGCAAACACGCCGTCTGCATATTACTTTCACTGTCTACGCTCTATTGGATAAGCCGCTGCGGTATAATGTACGCACCGGCGGTGTGGCTACGACCCATACTGTACACTATCGGCTTAACGGAGGCGGGAAGAATTGGCCTACAGCTTGCAGCTTTTTAGCGGACTCAAAGTGTAGCATTACCAATGCCGCTATCCAGTTACAGGGCCGGGATACTTAATGACGGCAACCTCGTTAAGTATCAGTTGACTAAAAATGGATTACACTCATTTCGGATATACTCTCTCGAATACACTCGCGCCTCATTAATCTAGTTATTGCGGATAGGATGTGCGTCGTAAAAGCATTTCGCGAGCAAGGGAATGTCTCAATTAAAAACCAATTTTTTTAATGATTTTTCAGAGCGCCCCGACATCTCTGAAATTATATTGAGAATACACACATCGTGACTGCGCATGAAAATGTCGTGTTAATACTTCCACCGACTCGCTGGTAGATTTTATTTCACAGTTTAGATTGGAATCAGGCCAACTTAGGTTAAAGCGTCAGGTCATAGATTAAGTTAAGATCAGGGTCGTCGAAAATTCTTTCGGGATCTTCCTTCTTTATCAAGAAGTTCGTGTATTACATTCGGAAATCGAAGTAGGTTACCGAAGTGAGGAACACAAAAGACACCCGAATTAGGATGCCTACGAAATTTTGAAGGATCAGAAACATTTTTGCAATTAATTGTAAAAAGTTGCTTCATGTAAAAGTCATTAAAGAGGAACATTTGATGAAGCCATAATTATTTTGATAGAACTAACGTTACGTTTTAGCAAAACCGATAATTATTCTCTGTTTTAAATCAATACTTTTTAGATATTTTAGATATCTGGGTAAATTTTGGAAAAATCTTCTTTCCTTCCTTTCTTTATCAATTTTGCTTTTTCTTTTTCAAAAGAAGTTTATATATCAAACTTCTCTATTCGAAACTTGTCCATTATGCTTTCCTCTGAATTGTAAAAATTGAGACGGG